ATATTTGTAAAAAACAAATAGAACAGATTGGTGGCACTCAGGTGTTTGACAGTTTTTTGCAAAGTCTCCATCAACTGAACCCTATCCCCTCTCTTAAAGCTATATTTGGCTCTTTAAAAAAAATTGTATTGGGTGCTCTTACAGCACTTATAACATTCCATACATCAATTATATTGAGCATATTTGTGACACGTTTCCATCATCATTCCCAAAATATTTTCTACTTGAACCCTTGGTATAAGCTCCTCTTTTTTTTTTTGTTTTACTTTTTAAAAAAAATCGTTTTATTGGGGCTCATACAACTCTTATCACAATCCATACATACATCAATTGTGTAAAGCACATTTGTACATTCATTTCCCTCATCATTCTCAAAGCATTTGCTCTCCACTTAAGCCTTAGCACCAGCTCATTTTCCTCCCTCCCTCCCTGTTACCCCCTCCCTCATGAACCCTTGATAATTTATAAATTATCATTTTGTCATATCTTAGACTGTCCGACCGACATCTCCCTTCACCCACTTTTCTGTTGTCCGACCACCAGGGAGGAGGTTATAAGTAGATCCTTGTAATCGGTTCCCTCTTTCTACCCCACCCTCCCTCCTCCCTCTCAGTATCAACACTCTCACCACTGGTCCTGAAGGGATCATCCGCCCTGGATTCCCTGTGTTTCCAGTTCCTATCTGTACCAGTGTACATCCTCTGGTCTAGCCAGATTTGGAAGGTAGAATTGGGATCATGATAGGGGGGGGGCGGAGAGAAAGCATTTAGGAACTAGAGGAAAGTTGTATGTTTCACCGTTGCTACACTGCAACCTGATTGACTTGTCTCCTCCCTGCGACCCTTCCGTAAGGGGATGTCTAGTTGCCTACAGATGGGATTTGGGTCCCCTCTCTGCATTCCCCCTCATTCACAATGATATGATTTTTTGTTCTTTGATGCCTGATAACTGATCCCTTCGGCACCTCGTGATCACACAGGCTGGTGCGCTTCTTCCATGTGGGCTTTGTTGCTTCTTAGCTAGATGGCTGCTTGTTTACCTTCAAGCCTTTAAGACCCCAGATGCTATATCTTTTGATAGCTGGGCACCATCAGCTTTCTTCACCACATTTGCTTATGTACCCATTTGGATCTTTTGTAGGGTTGCTTTTGCTCACAATTTGTCTTTTATATAGTCTGCAGAAAAATCGTCGACAAAGAACCATAGACAGGAGAAATGCTGCCCTTGCAGTGTTTTTTCTTCATTTGGATTCTATAAAAGAGGGGGAAATAAAGCTGGAATATGGCTAGAACTTGGCTACAAATCAAGGCTCTAAGGATGCACCTTTGGGTCAGCGTGTTCTGCAAGCAGATCATGTTGATTCTCAAGGAAATGCAAATATTCCTTGTGTGTGTGATTCCTGGAGTTTGTTTGGTCCTTGTCCCTTTACCTATTCTTTAAAAACAAACAAACCAGTTTTACCAGTGCCTACTTGTCATATACAATTCAGTAGCTCAATCACATTAAGAAAGTTTATATAGTCATCACCACAATCAATTTTAGAACATTTTCTTCTTTCTTGTACTGATTGTTATTGGCTTGTTTGCCTATTCTGAGACCAACCACTCCTCCCACAGCACCATGCTGCTATGCTGGGTTCCATTGTTTGTTACAATGGCCACACAGAACTCACAGACACCATTCACAATTCAGGGTCCTTATTAGGGGAGTTAGCAGATTGCCATGAGACAGGAACACAGTAAGGATACAGTCATTGGCTCACAACACCACCTTTTCTCAGCCAGTAGCCAAGTTTCTGTGCTCAAACTCTCAGCCTTGTGGTCCCTTGCTTCTGCCTTCCTGGACCGGCTAGCCGGGTTGCTACTCTGCCTCACAGTCTCCTGGTCTGAGTGCTGCTCCTCTGGTCTGTTTTATGGTCTCCTTGCCTCCGCCTGGGGTGCCTCTGGTCTCGGCCTCTGCCCCTTCAGACAAAGACCTCAAACCTGCTTCACTGGTAGCCCTTCTTCCTTCATGGTCCTGGGATTTTTCTCTCTTCCTGCCAAGATGGCCCATTAGTATAGTCAGGGGAATGGCTTCTAAAACCGATGAATCCCCTCTATTTGGGTTATACTTGCCCTAATTACATAGTCCCACCCAATCATTTGGTGGGAGTTACAGACACATGGATAGAAGATCCAAATGAAGACATTTTACTCCACCACGCAGGGGTTTGACTGTTGACCAATTCCTTGATTTTCATGAGATTCCATGGTAGACTGTAAGTTCCTCAGCTGTTTAGACAGCCTTTTTAAAAAAAACTCATTTTATTGGGGGCTTATACAACTCTTATCACAATCCATCCATCCATCCATCCATCCATTGTGTCAAGCACATTTGTACATTTGTTGCCATCATCATTCTGAAAACATTTGCTTTCTACTTGAGCCCTTGATATCAACTCCTCTTTTTCCCCTCCCTCCCTACTCTCCCTTACCTTATGAACCCTTGATAATTCATAAATTATTTTGTCAAATTTTACACTGTCCGACGTCTCCCTTCACCCACTTTTCTGTGGTCCATCCCCCAGAGGGGGGTTATATGTAGATCTTTGTAATCAATTCCCACTTTCTACCCCACCTTCCCTCTACCCTCCCGGTATCACCACTCTCACCACTGGTCCTGAGGGGTTCATCTGTCCTGCATTCCCTGTGTTTCCAGTTCTTATCTGTACCAGTGTACATCATCTGGTCTAGTCAGATTTGTAAGGTAGAATTGGGATCATGATAGGGGGAGGAGGAAGCATTTAAGAACTAGAGGAAAGTTGTTTCACCGTTGCTACACTGTACCCTGACAGGCTTGTCTCTTCCTTGTGACCCTTTGTAAGGGGATGCCCAGTTGCCTACAGATGGGATTTGGGTCTCTACTCTGCACTCCCCCTTATTCACAATGATATGATTTTTTTGTTCTTTGATGTCTGTTACCTGATCCCTTCAACACCTCGTGATCGCACAGGCTAGTGTGCTTCTTCCATGTGGGCTTTGTTCCTTCTGAGCTAGATGGCTGCTTGTTTACCTGAAAGCCTTTAAGACCCCAGACACTATATCTTTTGAAAGCCAGGCACCATCAGATTTCTTCACCACATTTGCTTATGCAAATATTTGCCTTCAGCGATCATGTCAGGAAGGTGAGCATCATGGAATGCCAGTTTAATGGAACAAAGTGTTCTTGTGTTGAGGGAATATTTGAGTGGAGGCCCAATGTCCACCTGCTTCCTTAATACTAAACTTGTAAATATATGCACATAGATCTACTTCCCCATCCTCATATATAAATATATTTACAGATGTACATGCCTTTATTTAGACCTCTATATATGCCCTTTGCCTCTTAGTTCTTTCCTCTGTTCCCTTTTACTTTCCTCTTGTCCCACTACCATGTTCAGCCTTCATTTGGGTTTGGAATGCACTCAAAGGCACCCAATAAGGACAGCAATAAGGATGATAGTGAAAGCCCAAAATCCACTTGCAGAATCCTGAGTAGATTAAGCCTCCATTGAATTCTTTCTGATCACTGAATATGGAGAACAATCTTGCCCTTAGGCAGAGAGTACTTTAGGAAGTGAATTACCTGCACTCTCCTCAAGCCAACCCTGGGAGGGGTGGTATACCTAAGGGGCTTGCCTGAGCATGAACTTAGTGAAGCGTGTGACCCTTAGTTGTGAGGTGTGCTCTATCAGTCATGCCCTGACCAATGCCGCTGATAAGGTCCAGTGTGCCTGTCACTATTTTAGTCAAGTTCAGAGGCTAACTTGATTTGAGAAATTCTAAGTTTATTTCCTGCAGGCGTTTGACAAGAAGGAAATTGGGGGGTTGAAACCTCCCAAAACTGCTTCAGAGATTCAATGAGAAGCAAATTATATACCCTCAACTATGTGGCAAGTTGAGGGAATGTTTTGTTACAGTGAACACAGGCCTTCAGCAATAGGACCAAGGAACAGGGGCATCCTGTCACACCCTTAAGGCCCCAGGCTCCCTTCCTTAACTAAAAGGCCTTGCTTGCTCAAGTAGTTTTCTTGGTTCAAACTTGAATTAGAACATTCTTACATTTAAAGGGAATTTTACTGCAATGAGGGGGATGGCTGTTACATTTGGGTTTTCTGCAAACCAAGTTTAAAACAGGACAGATCTCAAAGCATGCCACGTTATCAGAGTTGATTAACAGCAGGCAAGCTCTGTTTTCCAGTGTATCATAACTGCCTTGGTCCTACGGCCCTGGCCCAATCTTGCAAACTCTTCTAACACAATCTACTGTCACAATCATGTTCGGTGCCTGCTTCTGAAGTGCCACCTGTGACTGTGATGTATTGATCTGCCACCAGTTATCAATTTGCGAGTTTGTTCCATGCCTTATTTAACTAGAGTCCTGACGCCATTTTGCCCTGTGCCGCCGGCCTCCCTTCTGCAGGTGATGTGCCTGTATCTTTGTGCCGTTTAAGACTTATCAAATGGTCTCCTTAAACCACACGCGAGATCAGAGTCTTCTCATCCTGAAACCCTTCTTTGTACAAATTATGTGTGTCTGTGTGTCTTCTTGAGGGCAGGATTTCCTCATATTCTTTTCCTCTATCTCCAGTAAGCTACTGTTATCAGCTGCACACTGCGGGGACTCAATAAATGTTAGATGAGAGACGTCAATATGCAGAAAGAAATCGGACTCTGGGTGGGTGTCCTTCCTTCGGGGCCCTGTTTATTCATCTGCCCATTTTACCCGGGAGCTGACTCAGCTTTCAGCCAAGAGAAAACTCTGGATCCCTATTTGGAGAACCAAGGCCAGATCCCCAAGGCACACCTGGAGCCCGCAGACCCCGCCCACCCGCCAACGGCCACCGAGCCAGCGAATCCGGGACTCGCGGCCCCGCCCCTTCCTTCCCACGCCGCTCCCAGGCCAGTGCGCAGGCGCAAGGAGCGCCCGGGCGGCGGCGGCGCGCGCGGCCGCGGCTTCCCTTCCCCTCCGGTCGGTCTCCGTGCTCGCGGGGAACGGGCAGCGCCGGGGCCCGTCGTCATGGAGTCTCCGTGGGATGAGCTGATTCTTTCTTTCTCCCGCACGTCCATGTTCCCCTTTTTTGACATCGCCCACTACCTGGTGTCGGTGATGGCTCTGAAGCGGGAGCCGGGTGAGTGCGGGCGCTCCAGACCGCCGGCCCCGGGGCGTCCTTCAGCCGGCGCTGCCGGCCGGAGCGGGGGGCGGGGGGGGCGCAGAGACCCCGCTGCTCGTCTGGGGGCGCGACTTGGGGTCCGGGCAGCCGCGCGTCCGAGCGAGCCCCCGTCCGGCTGGCGTCGCCCAGGACTGGCGCGGCCCCCGGGTCACCACCACTTGGTGGAAAAGTCCTTCAAAAGCCACCGCAGAGCCAAGCCTCCGGCGGTGGCAGCCAGTCCCCGGTTAGCCGCTTGGAGCACCTGTCCCGTGACTAACGTCCTATAAACTCAGGAAAAGGCACGAGGCCACGCACCCGCGGTCCCCTTAGGCTGGGATCTTCCGCCTTGCGGAGCTTGTTGGCCCCGGGGATTGCCCAGAGCGAATGGGTCCTCCGCTCGCCGTCCGCCGAGTGACATCCTACAAGGTCACCATGTGCTTTCCCCTCTGTAGAATCCCAGCTTTGGTTTTCATCTGTCCGCACCAGTGGGGCGGGGGACGTGGGCTGGCACTGTCCGAAACGGTGACACCAAAATGACCGTCCATGAAGCTTTGATACCGTATTTCGGCAGACATTTCCTACTTTTTAAGAAAAACATTCCTATAGTTATGCAGCGATAAGAACTTTTTTTGTTTGGCCAGCCCAGCTTATGTATCTCTGTATCTATAGGTGCAAGCTATGCGAATTTGCTTTTGAACTCGATAATGCTCTCAGGTCAGAGTTGTTAGCAGGACTCCGTGACAGTGCCACGCCGGTGCCACTGGTGTGTTTGTTGCTGCTGGTGTTTTTTTTATTTTGTGGCCATGTTTGTCCTTTTAATGGTGTGTTTTAGTTACAATATTGTGGTAATTAGTATTGGTGGACCTGTGTCAACTTTTTTGGAGAATGAAGTCGAATCACAGAAAGAAAAGGAGAAAAATTAAAAAGGCTTCTGCAGTTACCAACTAACTAGGCGATTATCGCGGTTAATCGGTTCTAGACCCTACCGTGATAAATGAAATTCCGCGAAGTAGGATTCCTTATTTGTAAATCAAATATTTTCGTAGTTAGAGCATAGAGGACATGAAAAAACACCCTTTAGTCACCATTACACTCGTATTACCCAATTAAACGAAAAAGGGAAAATACAGTAAAACATTTTGGACGTTACAATTATCATTTATTATTTATTATATTATTTATGGCATCAAGCGTGTACAGTATGAGCCAATCAGTGGCAGTAATGACAGAGCATGCGCTGTTACGCAAAAACTGCGATAGAGTGAAGCCGCGGAAGTTGAAGCGCGAAGTGGCGAGGGTTCACTGTAATGTAATTCATTGTAGAGTTTACAAAACAATGTTATTAGTGTTCATATAATCTAGGAACTATTAATACTCATTCTGTGATTAAAATGAATAATATTACCAAAAATTCTGTAGAGGGGTCAGCAACGAAGAAGAAAACCCTTATAATGAGATGGGTTGACACAGGCTGCAACAGTGGGCTCAAACATACACCATGTGAGCAAGGCAGTGGGTTGGGTAATGCTTTCTTCTGTTTCGCATGGGGTTGCTATGAATCTGAGTGGGAGCTGACTAAACAGCACCTGCCAGTCTTAACAACTCTATTGCTTTGGAGTAGTTGTTAACCGAAAGGTTCAAGTCTGCCCAAAAGTGCTGAGGAAGAAAGGCCGGATGGTCTGAAAATCAGCTGTTGAAAACCCTGTGGCGCATAGTTCTATTCTGACCTACAGGGACTTGCCAAGAGTTGGAATCCACTCGGCCACTGGTCTCTACTGCCTCTGTAGTTATTCTGCCCACCATTTAGTTTTGCTTGGATCTTTCTGAGTCTAAACATCTTTCTACTTCTCCGTGTTCATGCTGCTTTGTTCTATAGAGAGTTAATGAGTGAGGACTTCAGGAGGTTGCTGTACCTCTCTCATCAATAACTGGCCTTTTTTGTTTTAGTACTTCATTTTTAATATTTGGTGTTTTTCTATAGACATAGAGTAGTCCAGGGACCCCTGGAGTTCCCTGATGTTCTCAGGTAAAAACTATTTTCCTAATATGCAGATTTTCATTGCTTGTTCACACACATGTACAGTGGGGTTTTCTGAGGCTGCATGATAGCTGCACCTGTGACAGCTGACAGACTGATGGCAGAAGCCGCTGTGAGAATCCACCTGCTATTTTGCCAGCATTAAAGAGATTAGAAAATGCAAAACTGTATTGACTTTTTTTACTACATTTTTTTCCCTTCGGAAAGCAGAGTTGTTTTTTCATACATACATTATTTATGTTACCATTTAGTTAAAAATTTTCACTGATAAGTTCTAATATCCCAAATGTCAGTGCATATAAACATAAAAACATTTGGATTCCTTGAAAAAAATTAAAGTCAGGCTTTTTGTTAGGATTCATGTTTCTCCAAAGATGGTGCAGTTGCTTCTGTAACTGTGGAGTTAATTTTGCCTTATAGGGTCTGGTTTCACATTAACTTTGCCCAAAGTGTTTGTTCCTGAGAGATTATCTCTTTAAACAATTTGGAATTTGCCAGTCTTTGTTTAGGACTATAGTTAAAAGTTGCGGTGAGGTGATGAGGTAACTCTGGTTGGTGGCTGTCAGGCCAGAAAGACGCACCTTGTGAAATCTGTGGTCACTTTATGATGCTGACTGAGCTAGAGAAGGAGCTGGAGCTTGTACTAGCTCTGAGGTCCCTAGTAGCAGTTCTGAAATGCAGAAGATTCGTGGGCTTCCTGGTTGGTGGAAGACATGGAAGCAAGTAATGTGTCCCTAGAGTTATGAAATCTTTGCATTGGCTGTACTCTGTGTCTCCTCGATGCCAGTACTGATTTATGGCTTATAATAGAGCTGTGGAGCCCTGGTGGTGTACTGGTTATGTGTTGGGTTTCTAACCGTGCGGCCAGTAGTTCAAAGCCATCAGCTGCTCTGCAGAAGAAAGATGAAGCTTTCTACTCCCATTAAGAGTTACAGTCTTGGCATGATGTCTACTCCCTAGATCACAGCGTTCAGAGGACAGCACTGAAGATACAGTGTGGGGAGTGTGGCCGGTCTGAATGCCCCACCAGGGGGCAAGCCAAGAGGGGAGTACAGCACATCAGCAATGGGAACGAAACCATGAAGTTCCTTAGGAATCCCCAAAGTAGACTTCTGACTCGGGGCAGCACTTGGCACCTCATTTGAACTGGTTGGGGAATATTCACAAAGGTTAGCAGTTAGACCCAGTTAGACCTAGGGGTGTGTGTGTGTGTGTGTGTGTGACACATACACACACACACACAATAAGGAACCAGATGGACTCTGGGCCTCTACTTAACTCCTACCTCAGTACAAGAACTGTTGTAATAATGTGGCAATGTATGATACTCACCTTCCTGACATCGCTGAAGACAAAATGGGTGCAGAAGCAAATGTAGTGAAGAAAGCTGATGGTGTCCGGATAGTAAAAGATATAGTGTCTTCGATCTCAAAGGCTTGAAGTTAAACAAGCAGCCATCTAGCAGGGAAGCAACAAAGCCCACGTTGAAGAAACATGCCAACCTGTGTGATCATGAGGTGTCGACAGGAAGGGGTGTCAGAAGTTCAGAATCAAGCAATCAAATTGACAAGAAGGAGCATAGGTAAAGTAGAGACCCCAAACTCACCTGTAGGACAATTGGATAGACCCTCACAAAGGGCCACACTGATAGGACGATCTATCCAGGGTGCAATAGAGCACTGATAAAACACACAACTATCCTCTAGTTCTTTAAAAAGACCTCCTCGCACTATTTTGGCCTTAGTTTTACCTCACTAACCTTGTTAGACGGGCACATGTACATTGGTACAATTAAAATCCAGAAGTCTAGGGGAGACCCCAAAGCTGTGGCTGGCATCCTGATGGGGTAGAGGGAGCCCCTTGAATTTGTAGCCACCAGGTGGGAAATGAGGGAGCCCAGAGAGTGCCTCTGAGCCTGTGTATAGTATCCTGGAAAGGTTTTTGAGAAAATGCGGACTTGGTAGCCTGCAGGTCAGAGAGGGGGCTTCTGGGGATTGGAACTTTTAGCTTTCATTTTCAGTTCTGAACTAACATTAAAACTATCCTTTTAAACTTGCCAGATCTGACCCAGTTATGGTTGGTTCTGGTCACAGGATGAATTGTGTGGTTGGACAGTTTGTATATAAACAATTGGGGAGTTGGGGGGAGAAAGTGTTTTAAAATTGATTGTGGTAATGATTCTACAACTCTTCTTGATATGATTGAACTATTGAGTTTTGTGATATGTGGATTAAGTGCCAATAAAACTGTTTTCTTAAAAGGCTAAACAGAAGTGTAAAGTGGGGATTTGTTATATCTTCATAGTTGTTGATATGAAAAAGTTCATTTTTGATTGGATATTTGATATTTAATTTTATGTAAACTGAAATATAGAATATTTACTATATATTGGCAGATATTTACATATTCTTTTTAATTTAAGTACTTTGAGTTTTGGCACAAATATAGTCAAATTAAACTATATAGAATAATTTCATTATTCACCCAGAATTCTCTCATGCCCTTCTTTTGTAGTCAGCCCACTTGTTAACTGTTTTTTTAAACCTTCCTATTTCTTTGTATTAAAATGTTTCTCCTGAAATAATGAGTATATATTTTTTGTCTCCTGATTGGATTCTGACTGATACAGTAACCTGGGAGCTTGCCTTCCCAAGATATCGAGAGTACTTGCTACTTACAATTCATTGGATCCAATAATATAAGATCGTTGGTATAATAGATCAATGTGGTGATGTGTAGACTCTCCTTAAGATCCAGATCTCTGTGCACTATGTTATAGTAGAGAGGGAGAGTGAACATGGATTTGAGATGAGATGGTGAAGCCCACCCACCCAGTGCCACGGGGTCAGTTCCAACTCACAGTGATTCCGTAGGACGAGTCGAACTCCATAGGGTTTCCATGGCTGTAAATCGCCATGGAAGCAGACTGCCTCAGTTTTCC